GGGGATACAAAGTGAAACAGACAGGGACTGAAAAGAAAACTGGACTCAAATAAATAAAAGTGGCTTCAATATTATGTGAGCAAAGGTGTGTGTGTTCACTGACAACAAAGTATGATGCGCATGTGGAAAAGATTGACAGGTAAAAACAAAAATACCGTACACTCTCTTAGAGTGAGGAAAAAAAAAGTAAGAAAACCAGCAAAATCAACTATTGTTTTAAAAATAGAAATGACTCTATCAATCACGGTCGACGCCATTCTGTCTTTCTTCCATCACAAGTCTCAAAAACAAACAAAAACCCCCCACAAAAACCCTCCAAAAAACTCTACACATGCTGTTAGAAATATCTTCACTGACCACATTTCCAATATCCATTTAAGCAAAAGAAACGTCTTTATTTTCGTGGTTTGTTATTTCCATCTTTTATCTCCTCCTCTTTTATCTCAACCTCTTTTATCTGGTCCTCTTTTATCTCGAGCAGGCCCAAACCACATGAGGATATTTCCTCCCCGCTCAGAGCCGGGAGTGTGTGCAGGAAGCCTTCATCAATTTGATTAAAGAAGCACTCATGAACAAACAAACTAAAACAGATTCCTACACCGACAAAATCAATTAAGGACACATAAGGCATGCCAGAAGTTTCCCGCTACCCCAATCTCTGCAATACTGTGTACGGTCAACAGATACGGAACGACAATAATATTTCTCGCAGGGAAGATTTTTATCTCACCGACAACAGCATTGTTCAATATTTTTGTCTCAGAAACACACTTCTCTCGTTTCTGTTTCGATCACAACACGCAGGCCGCCACCTTTCACCCAGAAGAACTCTCCTGCTTTGTTAGTTTGCCAAAACTAGGTCGAAGCTCTCGCTGTACACAACAATTGTAACAAACAGGATTTCTCAAAGGCATGTACATCATCTCTTAAGTATTCAATATTATTTCTTCCAGGTTTATTAAAAATGAGTTCAGTATTTTCAAGAGAAGCTTCCACTATATTATACAACTGGGTCAGGGTCATGTCCACGACCTTCACACCATGACCTTGTGCGGCTCGTTGACCTTGCGCTCGACCTGGGCCAAGTACTTGTCTGGGATGCCAGCCTCTCTGTAACGACAAAACAAAAACATATATTAAAGCCATAAAAATGTCAATTTTCAGTTTCCTCGGACTCTCAACCTATGGAAATTGCCAAACTTTGGCGGCCATTTTCTCGCTAATTTTACCTCTGAAACCAGGCGATCCCACCATCTTCAATCGCAAATATCTCGACTTCTATTCAAGATAGATGGATTTTTTTTCTTCAAAGGCAAGACAAAAGAAGAGGCTATAAGATGATACAAATACTTCCATATGCCTTAAATTGACGAGCGCTAGATTCCACCATGTCATAAACATGTAGGAGACATTGACTATATCTAAGTATGTAAGTAGCTATGGTGTTTGATAGTTTCAGGAGACATTGACTATATCTAAGTATGTAAGTAGCTATGGTGTTTGATAGTTTCAGGAGACATTGACTATATCTAAGTAGCTATGGTGTTTGACAGTTTCAGGAAACATTGACTATAATCTAAGTATCTACGGTGTTTGATAGTTTCAGGAAACAAGTTCCCCCCCCTTCCTCCTGTCAAACAAACTTCCTGGGAACTGGCTCAGCTAAGTCCCCCGACCTTGGTGTTTCTACAAGTGGCTAGAAAAATCTTATTTCACTTTTTTAAAAGTAAAAAAACACACACAAAAAAAACCTCTAACAAAACGACAAAAAACAAAACAGCAAATCAACCAGAAATGTTGCAAAACAGTCAACATTTGACAAAAACTCAAACTTCTCCATCACAAATCGCATGTCTCTGTGACACAAGACTGGGAAGATCAAAGTCAAATTAGCATAACACAAACCATAAATTCTCTTGGAAACGCACGCTACAACCGGAACGTACTCTCAAATCACTCTGACGCACATCGCAGTTTCTTTTCCCACAAGACTGGGAACAAAAACTCCCAACAGTTCAAGCAAAAAACTCAAAAATCAACAACTGTCTTTACAAAGCCACAGGGAATAAAAAAGTTGAGATTCTTCAAATTCTCAAACAAGCTGCAATCACAAACAGAGAGTCCCCTCTCTCCAACAATCTTCAATCACAAACACAACAATCCTCAATCACAAACACAACGGTCCTCACAACTTCTCACGCCACATCTGCAGTTTCAGACGCTTGAAACACAAATTTCCTTTCTGCATAAGTCAAATATTTTTCTGGGATTCCAATGTTTCTGTAGATGTTGAGACAGGCAGTGTGAAGAAAGTATTTGACACGCCCGTAGACACAACTAAGATCTTTGACAAAGACAACGGCGTTCTTGAAGAGGGACAAACAATGTTGCAGTCCATAAACAAAGAATCTTTTGCGACACAACAAAGCTCTCATGTAGGGCAATGAGATCCATTCACCATTCTTCTCTACCCTATTGTCTCTCCCTCCCTCCTCCCCCCTCCCTCTCTCTTACACACACACAACCCCTCCCTC